GATAAGTAAAGCATTACTCAAGAAGAAGAACAAAGTGGGAGGCCTCACACTACCTGATTTTAGAACCTATTATACTGCCACAGTAGTCAAAACAGCGTGGTCATGGTACAACAACAGATACATAGACGAATGGAACAGAATTGAGAATCCAGACATAAATTCATCCACCTGTGAGCAGCTGGTATTTGACAAAGGCCCAAAGTCCATTAACTGGGGAAAACACAGTCTTTTTAACAAATGGTGCTGGCATAACTGGGTATCCATCTGCAAAAAACTGAAACAAGACCCATACCTCACACCATGCACAAAAACTAACTGAAAATGGATAAAAGACTTAAATAAAAATCAAAAACGATGACGATCATGGAACAAAAAATAGGGATAACGCTAGGAGCCCTAATGCATGACAGAAACACAATACGAACCATAAGTAAAAATACACAAGCACCAGAAGAGAGACTAGATAACTGGGAGCTCCTAAAAATCAAACACTTATGCTCATCAAAAGATTTCACCGGAAGAGTAAAAAGACAGCCTACAGACTGGGAAAAAATTTTTGGCTGGGACAAATCCGATCAACATCTAATCTCTAAAATCTACAAGATACTGCAAAACCGCAACAACAGAAAGACAAATAACCCAATTAACAAATGGGCAAAGGATATGAACAGGCACTTTGCCAACGAAGATATTCAGGTGGCTGACAGACAAATGAAAAAATGGTCAGGGTCATTAGCCATTAGAGAATATGCAGATCAAAACTACAATGAGATATCATCTCACCCCAACAAGGCTAGCATTAATCCAAAAAACACAAAATAGTAAATGCTGGAGAGGTTGTGGAGAGACTGGAATACTTATACGCTGTTGGTGGGAATGTAAAATGGTACAACCACTTTAGAAATCAATTTGGTGCTTCCCTTAAAAAGCTAGAAATAGAAGTACCATACGATCCAGCCGTCCCGCTCCTTGGAATATATCCTAGAGAAATAAGAGCCGTCACACGAATAGATACATGTACACCCATGTTCATTGCAGCACTGTTCACAATAGCAAAAAGATGGAAACAACCTACGTGCCCATCACTGGATGAATGGATAAACAAATTATGGTATATCCACACAATGGAATACTATGCAACGATAAAGAACAATGATGAAGCCGTGAAACATCATATAACATGGAGGAATCTGGAAGGCATTATGCTGAGTGAATTTAGCAGTCACAGAAGGACAAATATTGTATAAGACCACTATTATAAGAACTCAAGAAAAGGTTTAAACACAGAAGAAAACATTCTTTGATGGTTATGAGGGTGGGGAGGGAGGGTGAGGGTTATTTACTAACTAGATAGTAGATAAGAATTAGGTGAAGGGAAGGACAGCACACACGACAGGGGAAGTCAGCACAACTGGACTAAACCAAAGCTAAGAAGTTTCCTGAATACAATCAAACACTTTGAGGGACAGAGTAGTAGGGATAGGGGTCTGGGGACCATGCTTTCAGGGGACATCTAGGTCAATTGGCATAACAAAGCTTATTAAGAAAATGTTCTGCATCCTACTTTGGTGAGTGGCATCTGGGGTCTTAAAAGCTTGCAAGCGGCCATCTAAGATGCATCAATTGGTCCCAACCACCTGGAGTAAAGGAGAATGAAGAACACCAAAGCCACAAGGAAGGCATTAGCCCAAGAGACAGAAAGGGCCACATAAGCCAGAGACTTCATCAGCCTGAGACCAGAAGAACTAGACGGTTGCCCGGCTACCACCAATGACCACCCTGACAGGGAACACAACAGAGAGTCCCTGATGGAGCAGGAGAAAGATGGGGTGCAGATCTCAAATTCTAGTAAGAAGACCAGACTTAATGGTCTGAGACTGGAGGAACCCTGGAAAGCATGGCCCCGGATTCTCCATCAGCCCAGAACTAAAGCATTTTCTGAGGCCAACTCTTCAGACAGGGATTGGACTGGACTGTGGGACATAAAGTGATACTCGTGAGGAGTGTGCCTCTTAGCTCAAGTAGATATGAGACTAAACGGGCAGCTTCTGTCCGGAGGTGAGATGGGAAGGCAGAGAGGGTTAGGAGCTGGTTGAATGGACATGGGGAATCAGGGGTGGAAAGGAAGAGTGTGCTGTCACAGTATGGGGAGAGCAATTTGGGTCACATAACAATGTATGTATAAATTTTTGTATGGGAGACTAACTTGAAATGTAAACTTCATTTAAACTACAATCATTAAAAAAAAGTTGCAGTAGTGCTACTAGAGGAAGGAGGTGTGGATGCTAGGTAGGCAGGGAGAAAAACGTTGCCGTGGAGTCAATTCTGACTCATAGCAACCCTATAGGACAGAGTAGAACTGCCCCATAGGGTTTCCAAGACTGTTGTCTTTATGGAAGCAGCAGACTTACCCCATCTTTCTCCCACGGAGCAGCTGGTGGGTTCGAACCCCCAGCCTTTCAGTTAGCAGCTGAGCAGTTTAGCCACAGCACCAAAACAAGGGTGGCCCTATGTCCCGTGTGTCTAAGAGCTTAACTGACACCCCCTTCCTTGTCACTAGGCTTTGATCGCATCGAGAACTTGGAAGAATACACGGGGCTGCGCTGTCTTTGGCTGGAGTGCAACGGGATACAGAAGATTGAGAACCTGGACTCCCAAACCGAGTTGCGGTGCCTCTTCTTGCAAGTGAACTTGATTCATAAAATCGAAAACCTAGAATCTCTGCAAAAACTGGATGCCCTTAACCTCAGCAACAATTACATCAAGACCATTGAAAACCTCTGTAAGAATGTCCAGCAAAGGGTCTTTTAATATGTCCTTACGTCCATCACTTTCCCTTGGGGGAGGTTTTAAAAATGAACACTATGGGCGAGAAACAGTCATGCCTTTGTTGCTGACTTCTGCTGACCTTGCCTTCCAGCCTGCCTTCCAGTCCTGAACACACTACAGATAGCGCACAACCATTTAGAAAGTGTGGAAGACATTCAGCATCTAAGGGAATGTTTGAAACTTTGCGTCCTTGACCTCTCCCACAATAAGCTGAGTGATCCCGAGATCCTGAGCGTTCTCCAGAGCATGCCCGATTTGGTAAAAAAATAGAAAAAAAGCTTGCTAATTTTTCGTTCTTTAAATATCAGATCTCTCTTTCTTCCCTCCTTCCATCCTTCTCTTTTTCTTTCATACTTTTTTCCGCTTTGCGTTTTCAGTTGGAGTATCCTAAAGGAGGAAACCCTGGTGGTGTAGTGGTTAAGAGCTATGTCTGTTAACCAGGAGGTCAGCAGTTCAAATCCACCAAGTGCTCCTTAGAAACTCTATGGGGCAGTTCTACACTGTCCTACAGAGTTGGAATCGACCCGGCAGCAATGGGTTTTTTTTCTGTTTATCCTAAAGGAAATACCAGATGTCATTTCACCCATAAATAGTTCAGTGTACATCTGTAACAAGATACCAGTTGCCATCAAGTCAATGCTGACTCATGGTGACCCCATGTGTGTCACAGTAGAAGTGTGCCCCACAGGGTTTTCAGTGACTGAATTTTTGGACGTAGATGGCCAGGCCTTTCTTCTGAGGCATCTCTGGGTGGATTCAAACCTCCAGCCTTTCAGTTAGCAGTCGAATGTGTTAATCATTTGTAGCACCCAATGACTCCAAGAAATACTACTTCAGGAATAATTGGTGTCACACCAAGGAGGTGCAGAGTGATGGGAATGGCACAGCCAGCAAGGGGGAATAGTCTAGAACTGCCAGCACATGGTGATAATGCAAAGCAGCCTGCCTTATAGTTGTTTTATGATTGCTGCTAAATTCTCTGCACACAAGGCACCCCTTTATTGCCTGCCCCTTGGGCATACTGCTCCCACCACCTCCATCCCTCCACTCACCCTTGGCAGGTCACACAAAAGATATGGCAAAAACGGTGAAAGTGGTGTGTGAATGAAGTTTAGGAAATACTAAACTATCTAGTTTACAACATATTTATTTTCTCCAATGACAAAAACCACTTTAGATATGAAAAATACTAAGTCAGTTTAGGAAAACAGATTTTAAAACTGTTTGCCCACATGCTGCCTTAACCATTCACCTTCTTTGAGCTTCGTGGAGCAGGAGAGGAGGTGATAAGTATTTAAGGAGAGGTACAGATGGGCAGAGGGCAGTGGTGGTTCAGAGGTGGAATTCCTGTATCCCATGCGGAAAGCACGCTGGCATTTAAGCTATTTTGTTGTATCCCTTTCTTGTTCCTAGTATTAAATAGACTTCAAGGAGATCTGTAGGCCTTGGAAGAAAGGGCTTAAGTCTGAGCTGCACAGCTAAGTGGACACTTTCCATCTTTTCCCTTAATCACTGTTTCCTATCTATCTAGCTGCTGTGCATGTTTTCTTAAAATGGGCCCTGGCTGCAAAGTAAAGAAAATAATCAGAGGTTAATTTCAGTAAAACAGATTGAATGAGCAAAACTAATATAATCACTGCAGTTGGAAAAGGGCTCAGGAAATGTTTTCCAATATTGTTCTCAAAAGACAAGAAGACCTAGGATCTGAAGTTGAAGAAGAAAGGGCTGCTCAGTCTTCTGGGCAGTTCAGACGGCACAAAAACAGTGAAAACCTCCCGATGTCCCTGATAAAGTCACCAGAACATGGATTTAGCCCTTCCTTTTCACTCTAGAAAATATATTAACTTATTCTTAGAGCACCGGACATGTAAAATATTTTAATCACATGCATTTTTTATTAATTTGGCTCTGCTTTGCTTACAGCGTGTACTGAATTTGATTGGAAACCCAGTTATTAAGCACATTCCTAATTATCGGAGGACAGTTACTGTTAGACTAAAACACTTAACATACCTGGATGACAGACCCGTTTTTCCAAAAGACAGGTAAGAAATAGAAAAGCCCCTTGATCATGTTTTCATACTTAATATTTGAACTCACTTAATATTAAATGTTTATTTGTAATTTATTACTATTTTCACATGTGATTAAATATTCTTTGGAAATAGTTTTAATGGCTATGTAACTGTCCATTACAGGAAATCCCCTATTTCTTGAGCACTTACATTATATCTGATTTTTCATAATTCTTTCATAAATAACCTTTTATATAAGCCTTTGACCACATTGCCTAGGATTGAATTCTAGGAGTGGTATTACTGGATTAAAGAATGTGGCTTTAGCATTTTAAAAACCTCTTGAAAATATTTTCTAATTGTTTTCTAGAACCCATTAAACCAAACCTGTTGCCATCGAGTCAATTCAGACTCACAGTGACCCTATAGGACAGAGTAGAACTGCCCCATAGAGTTTCCAAGGAGCACCTGGTGGTTTTGAACTGCTGACCTTTTGGTTAGCAGCTGTAGCACTTAACCACTATGCCACCAGGGTTTCCTATTTTCTAGAAGGTGTGAACCAATTTATAATCTCACCAGATATAGCCATTCCAAAGAAATCTTTGCCAAGTTGATTGATGGGTAGAGATGGTATCTCATTGTTTGAAATGTGCAATTTTTGATAACTGATGAGGTCATCATTTTTCTTCTTTATTGCCACTTATATTTCTTCCTTTATGAATATTCTGTTCATGATTTCTTCCTAGTTTCCTTTTGGAATCTTTTTTTTTTTTCATACTGGTTTGTAAGAGGTCTTTTTTATATTAGGAATATTGACTCCTGGACTGCCATGTATGTTGACACTACTTTTATCTGTATTTATCATTTATCTTTTAATTTAGGTCACTATTAATTTTAACTTTGAATAAAACCTCAGTAACGTGGACTGCTTGCTGGGTCAGATGGTAGCTCTATGTTTAATCATTTGAGGAACTGCCAAACTGTTCTCCGAAGTGTCTGCACCATTTTACATTGCACCAGCAGTATACAAGGGTTCCAATTTCTCCACAGCCTCGTCAACACTTGTTATTATCTGTTTCTTACGACAGCCGTCTTGCTGGGTATGAAGTGGTATCTCCTTGTGGTTTTGACTTGCATTCCCCTGATGGCTAATGATATTGAATATTTTTTCATGTGCTTAGTAACATTTGTATATCTTCTTTGGGGAAATGTCTATTCAGATCCTTTGCCTCCCCTTTTTTAAAAAAATTAATAGACTGTATTTTTTAGAGCAGTTTTAGATTTACAAAAAGTTGTTTTCTAGAAGTACGTACAGAGAGTTCAGAGAGTTCCCATATATCCCCCTCCACCTTACACACTATTTCTCCTACTATTAACGTCTTGCATTCCTGTGATACACTTGTTACAGTTGATGAACCAATACCGATAGGTTATTATTAACTAAAGCCCATAGTTCACATCAGGGTTCACTCCTTGTGTTGTCCAGTCCTGTGGGTTTTGACAAATGAATATGTCTTGTATCCACCATTATAGTATCGTACGGCATAATTTCACCACCCTAAAAATGTCCTGTGCTTCATGTATTCATCCCTCCCATCCTCCCCCTGAGCTCTTGGCAACCTCTGATCTTCTGTCTATAGTTGTGCCTTTTCCAGAGTGTCATATAGTTGGAATCGTAGAGTATGTAGCTTTTTCAGACTGGCATCTTACGCTTAGCAATATGCATTTAGGGTTCTTTCATATCTTTTTGTGGCTTTGTAGCTTTTTTTTTTTTAATCACTGAATTATACTCCACTGTATGGATGTACCCCAGTTTTGTTTATCCATTCACCTATTGAAGGACATCTTGGATGCTTCCAATTTTTGTCAGTTATAAATAAAGCTAATGTAAACATTCGTATGCAGGTTTTTGTGTGGACAGAAGTTTTCATAGGAGCATGATTGCTGGATCCTATGGTAAGTCTATGTTCAGCTTTGTAAGAAACCACCAGACTGTCTTCCAAAGTGTCTGTACCATGTTACATTCCCACCAGCCATGAATGAGAGTTCCTGTCGCTCCACATCCTCACCACAGCCTTTGGTGTTGTCAGTGTTTTGGATTTTAGCCATTGTAATAGGTGTGCATGGTATCTCATTGTTTGAATTTGCAATTCCCTAATGACGTACAGTGTTGAGCATCTTTTTATATGCTTATCTACCATCTGTGTATCTTCTTGGGTGACGTGTCTATTTGGATCTTTTACCCACTTTTTAATTGGGTTGTTTGTTTTCTTATTGTTAAGTTTTAAGAATTCCTTTTATATTCTGGATATAAGTCCTTTTATTAGATAGGTGTTTTGCAAATATTTTCTTCCAGTTTGTGGCATATCTTTTCATTCTCTTAACCTTTGTCCATTTTTCAGCCGTGATATCTTTTTATTATTGAGTTTTAAGAGTTCTTTATATAGTCTAGATAAAAGTCCCTTATTATAGATAAGATTTTCTAATATTTTTCTCCCATTCTCTGGATTGTCTTTTCATTTTCTTGATGATGCCCTTTAAAGCACAAACGTTTTTAATTTTGATGAAGCACGAGTGATCTTTTTTTTTTTTTGCCACTTATGCTTTTGGGGTCCTGTCTGAGAAGGCTTTGAAAACCACTAGAGTCTTTAAAGATTAACAGGTACGCGTGTTCACTTTTGTGCTTGTCCCTTATCCTGTGCGCACTTTATTTTGATTCTGAGGAAAACGAACAAGCTTGGTCAGATAGCATATGTTTTGAATTTACTTTTACCAGTAAAAAGTCAAACCTCTGTCTCTTCATTTGTCCTTGCAAACAGAGCTTGTGCAGAGGCCTGGGCTAGGGGAGGGTACGCAGCTGAGAAAGAGGAGAGACAGCAGTGGGAGAGCAGAGAGCGGAAGAAGATCGCAGACAGCATAGAAGCCTTGGCGATGATCAAGCAGCGGGCTGCAGAGAGGAAAAGGCAGAGAGAAGCCCAAGAGAAAGGTATGTGCTCCCGGAAGAAGACAACCTCCTCTGAGTTCTGTTTAGTTTGGGGAAGCCTGGGCTGGTGAACTCGCGTGCTTTAATCTCTAGGATTTTTTTTTTTTTTTTAATACCTACGAATCCATCTGCAGTTGGTCTCATCTACCTGCCAGGTCCAGTGAAAAAGCCCCACAACTGTGTGCAGTTTCAAGGCACTTTTCTTTTTTTTAATTGTGCTTTAAGTGAAAGTTTACAGTTCAAGTCAGTTTCTCATACATCAAAGCACTTTTACTGATTAAAACACAATGTTAAAATAGTCTCCATTTTTAGTAGTTAAAATGACACAGATTTATCATCTTACAGTTCTGAAGATCAGAAATCCAAAATGGGTAAAATCAAAGTGTCAGCAGAGCTGGTTCCTTCTGGGTGCTCCAGGGGAGACTCTTGTTTCCTTGCCTTTTCCAGCTTCTTAAGGCTGCCTGCATTCCTTGGCTTATGGTTTTTAACATTTTGCCACACATTTGTTACAAGCACACACACACACACACACACGCACACGAATGCAGGCACACACAATGCACACATGCACATACACACACGTGCACACACGTTTTATTTTTTACCTGCTGAATCATTTGAAAGTAACATCATACACTGTGGCCCTTCACTCCTAAATACTCCAGCTTGCCTCTTCTAAGAACCTACTGCTTTATGTTTTCTTAATGGCTCTGTTCTGTTCCATTAAATGAATGTGTTAAACAGTCCCTCTTGTGGAGATTGAGTTCCATTTGCTGGATGACATAAACAGCACGTTGGTAAGCATCCTTGCAGGGATTCCTGTAGCTGTACCCCAGGTTACTTCCCCAGGACGCATCCTCAGACCTTCATGGTGGGCCCCTGGTAGACACACAGACCCCTTGCTCCTCCAGGACATTTTTGACTTCACCGTTTGACTTCTCTTGTTTAGAGGAGATCTTGCTGCCAAAGGACGAAAAGGAAGTGGGTGCTGAGGAAGAAGGAAAGGAAACGCCGCCTGTGGACCAAGAAACGCAGCAGAAGATGGAGATGTTTGTTAAGGAAAGCTTTGAGGCAAAGGACGAGCTATTCCCAGCAGAGTCCAGTGGAGAAAGGAAGCTGCCTGTGGAGGCTGATGGGGAGGAGACTGAAGATCAGGAGCCAGGAGGGGCACTCCCAGCCAGACCTCTGACCCCGCCAGCTCTGGGTGCTGTTGAGGAAGGTGAGCAAGGGGCTCCACAGCCACGGAATTGAGATGGGGCATCTGGTTTTCAGTTCTTCTCTGTTGCTGCTTCCATGGGATCAAGTACACAGGTTATCTCATCACCCAGGAAAATGTAAGCAGTAACTACCAGTTGCCATCAAGTCAACTCTGACTCATGGCAACCCTATGTGTGTCAGAGTAGAACTGTGCTCCATAGGGCTTTCAATGGCTGATTTTTTTTTTAAAGTAGATTGCCAGGCCTTTCTTCTGAGGCTTCTCTGGGTAGATTCAAACCTCCAACCTTTTGGTTAGCAGCCAAACGCATTAACCATTTGTACCATCCAGGGACTCCAAGCTGGTGGATTCAAAGTGCTGACCTTTTGGTTAGCAGCTGATCTCTTAACCACTGTGCCACCAGGGCTCCAAGAGAAATATAAAGGGGGCCATGTATGTCATTTAAAATGTCCTAGTGCTGTTGTTGTTGTGTGCCATTGAGTCAATTCCAACTCATAGCGACCCTATAGGACAGTGTAGAACTGCCCCCATAGGGTTTCCTAGGCTGTAATCTTTACGGGAGCAGATCGCCAGGTCTTTCCTCCTGTGGAGTGGCTGGTGGTTTCAAACTGCCCACTTTTTGGTTAGCAGCCAAGCACTTAACCACTGTGCCACCAGGGCTCCTTTAAAATTTCCTAGTAGCTGTGTTAAAAAAAATAAAAAGAAACAGGTGGAACCATTAACAACACATTTTATTTACCCTAATATATCTAAAGTATAATCACTTTAACATGTAATCAATATAAAATTTATTAATGAGATAGTTTACTTTTTTTTTTCATACTAAGTCTTCAAAGTCGAGTGTTTGACACAGCATATTTCAATTCAGATGCTAACTCTTCAGTGGTAAAAGTGAAATGTAGGCCTAGCATACCAGCACGTTGTTTTATGTGGCTTCAGCCTTAAAATTAATTAGAAGTAAGTACAATGACATAAAATTGAAAATTCAGCTCCTTGGGTGTACTGGCCACATTTCAAGAGCTGAGTAGCCACGTGTGGCTGGTGGCTACTGTAGTGGACAGTGCAGGATCTAGAGAAAGGGAAATCCCTTGGCAGGGTTTGCCCAAGCTAACTGGGCTCTGCCAACCGAAGGTAAACCCAGGACTTCCCAGGCTGTCATCCCTATTGTGGTGGTATTGGTGATGACGACCAGACCTGGAACATTCCCAGTCTGTAGGGCCCTGAGAGATGGGGAATGCTGTGGGCCCCACCTAAGCAGAATTTAAGCTGTTTGGGGCGTTTAGCTAGTTTGGCCCAGAATAGGATGGGGAGTGTAGGTGGAGGAGCTGGTTTGAGAGGGAAGCAGAGGGTCTTTGCACTTAGAAACACTGAATTTTGAGAAGCCCTGGGGCATCCAAGTGGAGAAGATGTGACAGCTGGACTAATGAGTGAGGTTGGGAGCGGCCGGAGCTACACCGTGGCCTGGGGTCGTCCACACACAGCGACCGTGCGTCTGTGTCCTTGCCTCATTCTAAACTGGCGCCCAAACGTGGCTCTCGGAGTCAGACTGGGCACAGGCACTACTCAGGGCGGGTTGCTGGTGTTTGCACCTACATGCAATGAGGAGAAAGTTGGGTAGTTAATCTCGAACACAATAACTGAAGCTATGAACTGAAGAGAAAGCAGAGAACAGGACCCAAGGATACAGCCTTGGGGAGGAGGAAGAGGAACCCTGTCATGTTTTTGTCTCCCCCAGGCAAACTAGCGATTATTGACAGGTGTCCCTGGTCCCGGGCCAGAGGGGCATGTCACTGACGAGGGACAGGCAGGCCAGGTCTGTGGGCTCACCCTCTCCCTCAGCAGGGCCCAGGACTCGCCCTCCAGCCTGCCTTTCCTGTCTCCTGCCCTTGTCGTTACCGCATCGCCTTCTCCATCACCATACTCATCAATCATGGTGCCTTTTCCAAGGTTACTGATGATTCTGAATTGATCACTGGCTGGTCCTTCCATCTCACCGGCCTCATCCCCAGATTTCAGAAAGGAGGCAGCGCTTTCTTTCCTTTCCTTAGTAGACATAACCCTGTCCTAAGCTGTGGGCTGTTGTGGCTTCCGTCACAGGGCAGCCTTGTGACCCAAGCAGGGTTTTTGTCCTTCTTGTGCCTGTGGAATCCATTGTCACCTTTGGCTTGTCTGTCTGACCACTGTCTATAAAACTAACTCCAAGGGTAATGACCTTTTGTTATTGTTGTTCCTTAGATTCAACTCCCCACACTGTGGCCACTGAGGGTGCATTAGTTGCAGAACTCGATGGAGCTGAAGATAGAGAAACCATTGAACTGGAGACAAAGTTCTTCATTGATGTATGTAAAATAGTTGCCATGGAAATAAGTATCTATTTTATAATTGATAAACAGGTGATCAGATACAAATCTTCACCTCCTCGCTACCCACAGTGTGGTCCTTGGACCAGCAGGTATGGCACCACCTGGAACTGGTTGGAAATGCAGGATCCCAGGCCCCACCCCAGACCCACTGATCAGAATCTGTGTTTTAGTAAGACTCCCAGGTGACTCAAATGCACATTCAAGTTTGTGAAGCATTGGCCTAAATGGTTCCATTTCAACTATGTTGTCTTAGTTATCTAGTGCTGCTATAATAGAAGTACCACAAGTGGGTGACTTTAACAAACCACACAGTTTATTTTCTCACAGTTTAGCAGGCTAGAAGTCCAAATACAGGGTGCTGGCTCTAGGGGAAGGCTTTCTCTCTGTCTGCTCTGGAGGAAGGTCCTTGTCTCTTCTGAGCTTCTTTTCCAGGGTGATCTTCACATGGCTTGGCATCTCTCTTCTCCCATCTCTGCTGCTCTCCCTTGCTTGTTTAATCTCTCTTAAATCTCAAAAGAGATTGATTTAAGATACACCCTATACAAATATTGCCACATTAACATAACAAAGACAACCCATTCTCAAATGGGATTATAACCACAGGCACAGAGGTTAGAATTTACAACACATATTTTTGGGGGACGTAGTTCAATCCATAGCATACATCTAGGGAGCTCCTGATTGGTTTTCCCCAGAGAAGTTACACTGCAAAGCAATTTTGTCCAGTTAGCTTTCCCTAAAATCGTGGAGGTTACACTTTATCACCAGAGCCTCTCAATCCTCCTTCAGACAAGCCCCCCCATCGGCTGACTCAACCCTCCCAGCCTGCTGCTGCTCTGGCTTTGCATGCCCCTGCCCATGTCCGTGTTTCACTTCTGACCTGGTGTTCCATTTCTAAATGCCCAAACTTCAAAATTTCACTGGCTCAACAACAGTCAAACTGAGCATGGTCAGTATTCAGAGGGTCTCCAGCTTTTTGTACCTATGTATAACAAGAAACAAAATTGGAAAATTCATCTCTAACATTTGAGAACCGACTGTATACAGAACAGTAATAGCTAATATTTTTTAGTTCTATACCAGGCACTGGAGACCTGGTGGCACAGTGGTTGAGAGCTACAGCTGCTAACCAAAAGGTCAGCAGTTCAAATCCACCAGCTGCTCCTTGTAAACCGTATGGGGCAGTTCTACTCTGTCCCTATAGGGTTGGTATGAGTTGGAATCAACTTGATGATGGCAACAGGCTTTTTTTTTTTTTTTAAATACTAAACATGTATTAATTGATTTGACCCTTCCAATAACTCTGAGTGATAGGTGCTATTATTGTCCCCATTTTAAAAAACAAACCAAATCAGCTGCTGTCAAGTTACTCTAACTCACGGCGACCCCACGTGTGTCAGAGTAGAACTGTGCTCCCTAGGGTTTTCAGTGGCTGATTTTTGGGAAGTAGACTGCCAGGCCTCTGGGTAGGCTTGAACCTTTAATCTTTGGTTAGTAGCCAAGTGTGTTAACCATTTGCACCACCCAGGGACCCTCATTTTACAGATGAGGAAATGGAGGTACAGAGAGCTTAAGTGACTTGTCCGAGGTCACACATGGAGGAAACCCAGGCGGTCTGGTTCCAGAGTCCATGCATCTAACTACACACTGCACTGCCTTCCCTACATGCCAGACTGTGGATATGGATGAAGATACCCTCCACCACTCCAAAAAACCATAACACATCAAAAAAAAAAAAAAAAGCCCCACAAATTTTGGTGAGGTCCAGAATATACTAACTTTATACCACGTAGAGCCCTAACATTACACAGAGGAAAAGAAGGTGCATTTGGTTTGGGCTGCCTGTGTTTGTAACAAGTGGAGAAACATTTGGAAATTCCTCAAACATGTCACATGGTACACGTCTGACTTTGTTAGATCCGGATACTGAAGTAGCAGTGCTTGTGTTTTGTGTATGGGGTTTCTTTGGAGGGGCAGTGGGTAGGATTGTTGGTTGAAAGATTTGGGTCATTGCTCATTTTTATTTCCCCTCTGCACGTTGCCTGCATATACAGTGAGGTTCGATTTCATTTACATTGCCTGTCGGGAATCTGCGTGTGCACATCCTGGTGACATGTGGCTCGTTTGCTCTTTCAGGACCTACCTGACTTGGAAGACATTGATGCCAGCGAATTTCTCGGCGACCAGGACAAGGTTACCAGGACACATTTTCCCCCACAACCAGCGTCCTTCCATTCTCACTTTAGTCTTGTCATTTACACAGTTTATCTCCTTGCCTTGAAAGAAGTAAAATGCTCTTTGTGAGTAAAGCATCGCATACACCCACTTTCTGCACATCTCAAAAGAAAGGCAACGTGGCTATTTGCTATTGCTCACTTCCTTTTCCTTAAGGTTTCACCATGAACCACTGGGTTTCCTAGGCACATATTTTTATCAGGTTGTAGTAGCTGTGTAGTGTATGTAATTACCTGAGTACACTTTTCCATCCTCATGATGTGTTTATACGTCCGTGTGGTGCATGTCTGTGTGACGATAGCTACACATAGTGGGAAGGAAAGGAAAGACAGGAAGGAGAGAGTGGATGAGGCACAGTGGGGAATGCTCCCAAGGTAATCCTCCTCCTCCTCTCCCTCCCACTCTTTCTCCCTTGGGCATTACTAAGAGAAGGAAGCATAAGACATCAACAGACACACACACACACACAGACACACACACACAGACACGCAGACAGACACACAGACACACACACACAGACACACAGACACACACACACACACACAGACACACACACACACACACACACACACACACGTATGAGACCCAAAACCTACAGTGGTTTTGAAGAGAGTGCCACCAGGGGCTGGGGCGGGCGAAGAGTGTGCTGGGCTGAACCAGGCTGAGAGAGGGGCCCAGTCAGGGTCCCAGAGCACATCCATGTTGCTGAGCAGTGGATAGGAACGTGCAGCCATGGAGACCCGCAGAGGGTTGGTGTTGGCTTGGAAAGAGGTGTGGACTTTGGCTGTAGAGGTCACGATGACTTTTGGGCTCAGAAGCGACTAGCCAACGAGTGTCCATCCTGACACCTAACTTTCCAAGTGTAGAGTTCTTTGTTCTCCTGGGCCTTTCTTATATGTGGCAACAGAATTCTTTGTGATTTTAGATTTAAAAAAGGCAGAATTTGCATAATGCAATTTAGAGTGACTCAACTATGAAAACAGAAACGTTCCAATATATTTTTTCTTTTCATAGAAAATGTGCTTTCCGAAGATTGAAACAATTCCAAGCTTGAGTGATGACAGTGACCCAGAATTGGACTACACGTCACTCCCAGTGTTGGAAAACGTGTCCACAGACACCCTTTCAAATATATTTGCAATTTCTAAAGACAACCCAAAGAAGGCCGAGATCCCCTTTACAGACATATTTAAAATAGAAGCAGAAGGGGCCTTGGAAATCCAAAGTAAAGACACAGAGGCCCCCCGACTGCTGATTGAAGAGCTCAGTGACAGGACTTTAGACCAGCTGCCGATGCCCCCAACCTGCGAGAGAGATACCAGGCCAGTCCCTTCCAATGATGGGGATAGCAACATGCTCCCAGCCTCACCACCAGGTAATGCCGCCCTACCCAAAGTGATGGGCTGAAAGCTCCATGCAGAGATGTACTGTTTAAAACCCAAACCCAAAGGGGAGGTAGCAACTGAGCCTTAGACCCAAGCATCCCTGTTCTTGGAAGATCATTCATGGCAGCTCACAGAAACAATAGATCATGTTTCTAAGTTTACAGCCTGCTAAGCTGTAACTTGTACAACAGCTGGTGCCAGGCTGTGCAGTTCTGGGGTAGGCATATGTGACCGCGCGCATGAGGTCACCCGGTGCTTACCGCCCATCAGCTCTCGGCATTAGGGTTCAGTAGATCTAGGAGAGCTAAGGAACCTGCATTTTCCCCCATTCCTACCACTTCTGGGCCATGCAGACCAAGGCTTCTAATGGACGGAGGGGACCGCTGACACCACAGCAAGGGTATCTGGGACAAAACAAGGGTGGCAGCTGGCCTGAGGGTGCGAAGCTCCAGGACCCAGGGTGAACTGGTAAGACAGTCTGGGACAGTACCCAGATCGCCAGGCTAGATGGGCAGATGATGCCACCAACTGAACATACGAGGCCTCATCTGGTGTGGAGGCCTGCCTGCGCAGCCCCAGGAAGGCGCAGTTTGTTGGGGGGAAGCTGGCAAATGCTTAGGTAACAAGCAAACTGGGGTTATTTTGATACCCAAATTAGGGAGTGTTGGCTTACAAAATGGAGTTTGTTGGGCCCAGACAATTCCTATTCTTATTACGCTAATCTGTAGCCAGGTGGTTTTGTTTGTTAAATGACAGCTGCATGGTTGACTCAGATCTGTGCACAGAAAGAAATTAGGGGGGCCGGCCACATCACCCACAAATGCTGAGCTACTTTCTCTTTGAACTCTTTAGGAAACGATGCTGGAAAGAATGAAGTGCGGTCCAAGCTAGAGCCCAGGGTGCCCACAGAGCCCAGTGAGAGGGATGACCGCGAGGACATTGAATTTGGGTTGGACTGAACCCCAAGGTGGCCCCCTCTGTCCCTGCACTAGCAGTGACAGCAAGCTGGCAGCTGGGCCCTGAGGCCTGACCCCAGCAGGCACAGCCAGCCACTCAGCTCACCTCCTTCCTTCAAACACTGCTCCTGTTGAGAGCATGCGTGGGCCTTCGCTGTGGCCACGCCAACATCACATGGCCCTTGCTTCCACTTTCTCAGCCTTGCAAATGTGGACCAGCGCCATGTTCCTTGTTCTCGAAGCAAACAGAGCCACCCCCATTCCTGTTATTTGTAGTATAAATTACCATTATAGTAATGTCTCCTCTGAGCATTATAAACATTTTAATATCCATGCAAAGCAATGTGTCATTGGATTATTTAATACTCATGCCAGTCACAGGTAATTCCTTTTATTTCATCAGTTACCCTGAGGACAGACCCATTCCTCTCTTAATGTGATTAGAAATATAGATCAGACCCTGGCCCCATGAAGCTTCAAGTGGGTGTTTCCCCACAGGAGAGCAGAATCTTCTAGTGGAGCTACAGAAACTCAGGAAGTGGCACTTTAGATGTCAGGAGCCACATAAGGGAGTGCTGTCCAGTCTAAGAAACTCCATCATTAGAAACCACATTCAGCTGACAAGTATTCAATTCCCAAGCCTGGGCCCAAAGCCTCTACCTCTACAAAACATTAGACCATGGTAGAAATTGTTTAACAGACACAAACTAACCAAAACTAGCAGTAGCTGCTGACTTTTATTGAGCTCTACGGTTGAGTCATTTCACAATGAGGTAGCCAGTAACTGTTATCCCTGATTTCACACAGGGACACTGAGGCATAGACACGAAGTCTGAGGCCCAGCTGGAGTCAGGTGGAGCCGTCCAGACCTCACTGAGTCCTGCTTTCCCCCACAGCACCACTGTCCCCTGGAGGGAGTTCCCACCCTGACCCTGACCACTGGACCTTCAGCACGCCCTATGGAGTCTTCACATGAATTTGTAAACGACAGGACAAACGATCCTGCTAGCCCGTGTTCCTTCCTCCACAACCACAGAACCTTCAAAGGTGGTACCAGTGGCACCACTCCCACCCCCAGCTTGGCTGCTCCACCACAGGGCTCGTCCGAGGCTTGGGGGACAGCTGCCTTGTGCTTTCAGAAGCCCATGCGGGACTTCTTCCGGGGGGCCTGCTGTCTGGAGGGGGTGCTCCGGATGCTGGAGGCCTGGGAGGGGGGTGCGGAGGTGGCCCCAAGGCCAGAAGAAGGCAGCCTGGCCATGTAATCCCGGAGTGTCTGCTGCCGCTCCACAGGGACACCCCGGGCCCACAGCTCCTGGGTCAGCTCCTGGGAGGGGGGTGTGGCTGGGGGCAGAGGCCGGGGCTCAGGGCAGGTGCGGTCTGGGCTAGGAGGGGGGCTGGGGCCGTCAGAGAGGTCCCAGCGGCCGCTGAGCGAGGAGAAGGTGCTGGAGAGCTGAGTGCGGCGCTTGTGCCGCCTTGGCCGGTGCCCTGGCCCCAAGCTCCTGCCCTGTCTCCTCTCCCACCAGGCTGCCCCCCGGCCCTCCCAGGCTTCACCCAGTCGTTCACTGAGCTCGTCCTCCGGGCCGGACTCCGGGGCTGGGGGTGGCTCAGCTGTGGGGAGCAAGCCTAGGTCACTCTGCCGCAGGAGCCGTCCCTGGGCCATGGCTGCTCGCAGACCTACCAGCACTTTACCCTCATCCTGCTGCTGTTCCTTGTAGCTCAGAAGGTGGCGGTGGGAAAAGGTGGGTGCCGTCCACACAGGTGGGGGAAGGGGCACCTTGAGCAGAGCCTTCAGCCACCGGTTACAGCAGGCAGTGGCCTGGGGGGTCCAGGAAGCTGTGGTGGGTGTGGGCGTCCTGTCTGGGGCAGGCGCTGCCACCATGGGGGCCTGGGGCTCAGGGCCAGGGTCGCCGGGAAGCCCAGCATCCCTGCAGAAGCTGGATTCCTCCTGGAGGCGCAGGTGCTGGTAGAACACATCTCCAGCCATGGAGAGGTGGAAGAGCGCCAGGCCTGGTGTTGAGGCAGAGGGTGGGATGGCAGCCGCCAGACCTGCAGACGAAGTGACAATCACCCTCCATGCTGGGCAGGGGTGCACCCACCACGGTCCCGCCCGCCTGTGCACCTATGGTTGGCGCATTCAGCCGCTCCTGCAGCCGTCGCTGATCTGTGGGTTCCAGCAAAGGGAACCCGGAGAGGGCATCGGTCCTCGCTGGGAGGGACTGTGGGGGCCCTGCCAGCCGGGGCGCGGAGGCCCCCTCTCCTAGAGGACAGACAAGACAGCTCATGCTCCAACCCGGGCATGCCACACTCACCCACCCACCTTCCTGCACCCTCTGCCTGCACCTGGACCTCACCTGAGAGATGCAGCAGCTGCAGCTGGCCACCCTGGCCCCCCAGGAGCAGGGGCCGAGGGGCACCAGGGTGGGACGCAGGCAGCAGCTGGGCCAGCAGGGGCGCAGAGGGCAGGCCATGGGCCCACTTCAGCATGGGCACCAAAGGGAGGCGCTCATCCACCAGATAAAGAGAGAACTGCGGGCCAGGGAGAAGCAAATGGTGATGGGCGTGACCTTGTCTGGAGAACCTTCTCCCCTCAGGCCCTTTTCCAAGGGGCCCCATGTGGCTCTGTGGATGAAGCCCAAACTCCTGAGAGAAGCGCAGCAGCTACCTGCCTCCAAGACCTCGCCAAGCTCACCTGGCCCACCCCTGACCCAGGAGGCGTCTCCCAGAGCAGGCGCTGCGCTGCTATCATGGGGCCTGCCAGACCCTCAGGAAGATGCAGCGGAGTCCTGCCATACAGAAACCTACCCTGACTTTACCTGGCTTCCCCAAACTCACCTGGCCTTGGAACCTGGGCTTGAGAGACACCTAGGAACACCCTAGGGCCCGGGAGGGCAGCCCCTCAGAGATGTCCCCTGTTCCTCAACACATCAGGAAACAGACTGCTCCTCCCTACTCACACCTGAAACTCTACCTAACCATCACCACCCCGGGGGGCCTTTACTGACCCACCAGTGAGTACGGCCGATAGGATTTGGTGCCCGTTTCCACTACAGACACAGGCCAGGGGTCTGTGACTCCTGCTTAGCCTTAAGGCTGGCCTGGGGACCAGCAGGGCCACTAGCAACTAGTAAGCCCCAGTAAACATCTGAAATGTTGAGCAGGGAGAGGTGGGAGGAGGGACCCTCACCTGAGTACAGATGAGGTGGAGGGTGGGATTCAGAGATGTAGGGCTGGACGTCCCCAGGTACTGGGTGAGCAGAACGCGTTCCCCTTTCTGGCACGAGGCCTCTGCCCCCCCACGAAAAAGCAGGAGACCACAGCCCGGTGGGCCCTGGAGGAGAAATGCAGGATCAGCCCCTCCCCACAGTCTGAGGACTGTGACCTCATCGTCCCCTTTCCATCTGCCCCGGTCAGCCTGGATGCCTGGGCTCTGCTGCTTTCATGCCCTTGGGGGAGGTCTGTCCCTGCCCCGTGGATCTCTCCCCAACCCCCCAGTCGGCCCCACCCCACCTGCATGTCTATCATTTTCACTCCAGTGCGATCACCAACAGTCAGCACCCGAGGGTGGGCAGTGAAATCTGCCCAGCGCCAGGGAGAGGGGTCCCGGAACACTAGGGTCTCAGGGTCCTTGTAGACTTGCTGCAGCCTGGGGGAGGTAAGAAAGCAAGGGCGGGAGACAGGCTAAGGATGGGTGGTGGTGGGCCTTGGGCCTAGGGAGTGGGGGTCTTCTCACTTTGTTTGTTGGGGTGGAAGATCTTTACAGGGGCGGGAGGGGCATTACCCATCCTGGGGGGTCCACAGACAGACAGCTCCAGAACGGCTGCAGACGGCTAGCTCCCCAGGAAGGTGAGGGCTGCAGGGCGAGAAGTGCGACTCAAGGCGGTCACCCGTCGTCCCCCAGTTCCCTCACCAGCCGACTACCCAGACTGTCCCTTCACCTGAGATTGATCCCTGTGGCTCCCTTCTCCACCTGCAGCACCTGGAGCGGGGCTGGCCGCCCCTGTTTACTGACCTTCCACACGGCACAGTGGTAGTCGGAGCGGACCGCCAGCAGAGCTGAGGAGGGGATGGAGGAGGTCAGGGGTCAGCCTGCAGGTCGGTGAGGGAGGTGTCCAGGGGCCTTACCTTCTCCTTGGACGGTGCGGGTCACCACCTGCCGGACAGGCCCTCGGAGCTGGATGTGGCCAGGGTCCCCGAGGAGCTGGGGGCTGCCATCTGGGGTCAAACTAACCTCTTGGAGGCCTGGGCCTCGCGCTAAGGATCAGTGCATGAGCTGTGGTCATTGCAAACCCCCAGCTTCCCGCCCTTTCCTCCCCCTGAGGGCAGCAGCAGGGCCCTGCCCAGCAAGAGGATACACAGCCTGTCCAGGGCACCTCCGTTGGGGTAGACCAGCTGCCCGGCCAGGGGTGTCCTCCCAGGCAGCCAGGCCAGGGCACCCCCAGTGAAGGCATCATCCAGGAGCAGCTGCCCCCAGCGTCCTGCCAACTCCTCCTGCAGAAGCTCCCCCAGGAGGCTGGCCACGGGCCTGCCCAGGACCGGGCCCCCAAGGATGGAGAACCGGCGCTGCCGGTGGCTGAGGTATGCCCAGGGACACCTGGGGACGAGAGGATGTGGGAGGGTCAGGCTGTGGGAGTGATGGCAGAAGGGGACTGGGCACAGGGAGGTCAGTGCAGGGGACACGTGTTTCTCATTTACCTAGAGTTTCCTCCTCTGGGAAACCACCCCTCCCTACTCCCATGCCCTGGGGGCAGTCACATGACAAAGACCTGGCCACTCAGAGTATTCCAGCGCCCGGGCCACAGCACCCAGCTCACAGATGGACACAAGAGCCAGGCCAAGCCAATCAGAGTCCTTCCCAGGACATCTGTTGGTGCTCAGGTAAGACACTGGCTCTTTCCTTGAAATTAAAAGCCATCCTGCTGCCACTTGGAGACAGGGTTCTAAGGATTAAGTCAGGCAGAGGCAAGTGGATCAGAAAATACAAAGGGACTGAGCCCTAATAACATTATTGGAACATCTGGATGCAACCATGCCTGAAATCCACGATTTATACAAGCTCATAAGTTCCCTTTCTTCTTAAGCTAGCTAGAGTTGGGAGTTTTGTACAAGTATGGCTTACTGACCACAGGAGGGAAGGGGAATCAACTGTGATGGAAGCCTGGATCTGCTTTCCAGCTCCCTCCACATCTGCACCACCAGCAAGGCCTGCCCACCCCGCTCTCTCTCAATAGCCACTTGCCCCCAGGGCTGGTGTCCACCGAGGTCCTGGAGCAGCCTCTTCACACTGACCACTGTCTTCTTCTTAGAGCGGCTCTGTGTGGAAAAACCTTATCAAGCTTGCACACCCTAAGGCTCACCCCCATAGGGAAGCAGGGGGTCCCCTCCTGGCCAGCTAGGGCCTACTCACCCGTGCACCCTCAAGTTTGAAATTCTCCTGCATCAGGTTCCCCAGGGGCCCAAAGGCGATGTCCCCATGATCCCACAGGAAGCGGCTGAGCTGTGGGAGGATGTCACTAAGGTCACTAGCATGGCCAGGTCACTAAGCACAGCCTCCAGGCCACGCTGCACAGCCCATTTGGGACCCCTCACCTGCTCAGTAACATCCAGCGTGGCTCGGGGCCGTCTGCAGGACTGGTGACCACCACGGAAAAGCAGATCCTGGGCAGTCAGCCCAGGGTCCCAGGGATCTGAGGGGAAAGGTTAGGAAAGGGGCCTGTTGTAGGGTCTGGGGTGGGGCAGGAGTGCGACCAGGTATCACAGGTGACTGAAGGTGCCCAAGGACCCTGGGGAGGAGGAGGTATCAGCAGGGAGGGGGGGTCTCAGGGAGTGGGGAAGAGGAGTGAACCCCTTACCAGGACTAGGGGGCAGCAAGGGAAAGGGCCCAGGGGTCTCTGGCTCCCATCGCAGGCCCCTGGCCAAGTGCGGTGCCGCATTCTGGAGGAAAAACCACAATGACAACATGCAATGGAGTGCTGCCCTGGGCGCCAGGCAATGTTGCAAGCACTTCACGTCCATTAACTCACCCAACCCTCACAACAACCCTGCAGAGTTGGTGCGGCTGGAACCGTCGTCTTACTGAAGAGAGACTGAGGCAAGGGAGGTGAAGACAGAAAAGCTGGGCTCCGAGCCCCGAGAGCCTGCCTCCAGAGCTGTGCTTCTCCCTCCGAGCAGCACTGCCTCTGACGTTCTGGCTGACCCAAATCCCACTTGATTCTTACTTCCACTCTGGAGACCTCATGGTCACTGGCTGTGGGGCCTGATGGGCCACACACCCCTCCCTCTGCTAGGCAGGCCTGAGCCGTCTCACTCAGGGGACGAGGGGGTTGGTCAGCGAGGCTCCCAGCGAGGCTCCCAGAGGGGTGTTAATTCGATGTCAAACCTTCCTTGCCAAGGAGGTAACTAACAACATCCTTGACTCCCCCACCAAATCTCTCTATTTTATGATCCACTTGCCTCTGCTTATTCTATAGACAAGCTGCCTCCAAGTGGCAGCCAGATGGCTTATGATTCCAAAGGAAGAGCCAGCATCTTCCCGAGGACTGTCCTACAGAAGCCCTGGGAATGTCCTCTCCTACCCTGGTCTCCATCTTCACACTGCTCTGCCCCAGCAGACTTTTGGTTTCCTCAAAGCTATCATCACAATTTGTAATCATTTGATCTATTGGTCTGTTCACTGGTTTATTCTTGCCCAATCAAACTCCAAATTCCACGAGGGCAGGGGTCATACTGACTTTGTTGTTGTTGTCAGTTACCATCAAGCCGGCTCTAACTCACAGCAGCCTTATTGCCTGGTCCTGTGCCATCTGCATGATCGTTGGTATGTTTGAGTTCCTTGTTGTGGCTGTTGTTGTCAATTCATCTCACTGAGGGTCTCCCTCGTTTTCACAGACCCTCTACTTTACCAACCATGAGCACTCCCAACGCCTGCTAAGGAACCTGGCACATAGCAGGAGATGCTCAGTAAGTACGGGTCAAACAAATGAAGGAACGGAAGACCAGGAAGAGGGAGCTAGGAAAGAGCGAGCCAATAGCTCCCACTGAGTAAGCCTGCTATGACCGGTAGGGCGTCTCCCATATCCCAATGGAGAGGATTCTGGCTCAGCCTGGGTCTTTGCCAATTTGTGCTAATGCCACCCCATCCTGTACGCCTGCCAGCTGGGACCAAGTGAAGGGGCCCTCCCTGGAGCTGCCAGGGCTCCTCCCTGTCATCCTCACCTCGGCACTCTGAGACCAGGACTCCGGCAGGGTCAGCGCATCTCTCCAGCTACACATAAAGGACAGGCTGGGGACACTGCTCAGACCAAGGGGGCCGCTCATAAACAGGGTGGGGCGGAGGGAGCTGGGGAAGTCCATCCTGGAAAACAAGAGCCACGTGTCACTGGCCTTCCCAAGACCTGAATCCAACAATGGCTTCCAGGGCTTCTGGGAGAGTGACGGTGCCCTAAGAGGAGTATGCTTTCTCTGGGGATGCTGATAATAAAAAACAAATGCACACATAGCCTAACGCCAGGTAGCAGTGAGCGCTACATTAAAACAAACCAGCCAGCCACAAGGTGGGGAGACAGCAACGGGCTAAGGCTGCAGTTTTAGCAATGGTGCCAGAGAAAGTCTCACTGAGGAGGTGTTATTTGAGCAGAGCTGGACTCTAATGAGGGAAAGAACCATGCAGACAACTGGAAAGAGGGTTCCAGGTAGAACAAACAGCAAGAGCAAAAGCTCTGGGTCAGGAAAGTCTGAAAAACAACGAGGAGGCACGTGATGAAAACAGAACAAGTGAGGGGGAGAGCGTAAGGGATGACGTCCAACAAGTGGCAAGGGGTGTTTCTACCACAGCTCTGAACAGCCTGCATTACGATATTATTACATGGTTTGCAGCCCTAACTCCCAAGGCTAGGCTCAAGCTCCCCCAAAGCCAGGGACTTAGTCTTGTCCACCTGTCTTCCCACTGTCAAGCACAGGGCCTCCCAGAAAACACACTGACTGAGTGTGCTGAATAAAGATAAATTTATGTCAAAGGGCTTTGGGAATACAAAGTTCTCTAGAAGTATAAGCAGCCATGTCACCCCTTCCTTTTTTTATTAAACACAAAAAGGACTGCAGCACTCACTTGCTGAGCCCAACTATCTCCAGACATGGCCCTACAGGCTTCACACTTCTATCGCCCTATTGTGGAGTTCAAGAAACTGAGGCACAGGAAACAGTAACTTGTCCAAGGTCAACAGCTCATAAGTGCCAGAGTCAAGACTTGATCCCCCACGTGAGTCAAAGACTGTGCTCTGAACCACTGCATCCTTGTGCATCCAAAACCAAATGCTCAAATTAGAGTCTAGTAAGCAAAAATGATTTCCCTTGGAACCACCATTGGATTTTATCAGTTTATGCTGTAACCTCTGTACATCCAGGTACCCTCAGCACCACACGGTGCCTATCACATAGTAGGTGCTAAATACTTGCCAGCTAAATGAATGAGTGCTTCTCAGAGCACGCATCAGCCTCATTCTAATTGTGGTTTATTTGTCCGGCTTGTCTCTCCACTAGACTGCAAGCTCTCTGAGGGCAGAACTGTGTCACATTCATTCCTGAGTCCCTGGTGTCTGGCTGCTGCTATGATTTTCTTTTCCATGTAGGAGAGGATAGTGCTCAGGGATCTAGGAGGTGCTCAGTGAATCTTTGTAAAAATCTCTAGCTTTCATAGGTCAAGGCACACCCAAGCCTCTCCAAGGTGGCTGCATCCCCCACAACCCAGTAGACACAAAATATGTCTCCTGCTCATTTCTCTGTTCCCTGGGCTCCAGCCACACTGATCTGCTTTTGGTTCTTCACATGCCTCTTCTCACCACAGGGCCTTTGCATGCTGTTCCTCCGCTGAGACTGAGTCCCAGCGCTCAGATTTGGAGTCAATGATCTCCTACTCAGGGAATCCTCTCCTAGTTTCCCCAACCCATACCTTTCCCCCATAACACCCTGCACCCTTCCTCTAGGGCATGCATAGCAATTTGTGGTTAAATATGTAAGGAGGAGGCTGTTTGATTCTGCTCTAATAGGTCCCATGATAAAGGAAGTTCATAGAGCCCCAGCTCGTTGGTATTTGCCACCTGGTAACAATCAGTACGGAGCCCTGGTGGCACGGTGGTTAGGAGATCAGCTGCTAACTAAAAGGTCTGCGCTCGAATTCACCAGTCGCTCCTTGGAAACCCTATGGGGCAGTTCTACTCTCTGCTATAGGATTGCTATGAGTCGGAATAGATTCAACTGCAATGGGTTTAACAATCAGTACATATAAATTGTAGAAACAAATATAGGAATGAATGAATGAAAGGAGAAAGGAATCAAACAGCCTCAACAAACCCAAGCCAACTGAGGGCGCTGGTGGAGTCCAGGACCTCAGAAAAGTCCCTATTCAAGGCAGCCTCGACCTCCCCTGGCCGGACTCCCGCCCTCACTCTAGGCTTTCCAAGCCCTTCCGACGTCCGAAGCTGCAGAAATCGGCCAGGTCTGGATTAATGCAAGATAGGGAACAGCAAGAAAGTCGCAGAGGATGGGAAAGGGGATACAGAAGGTCTCTCATCGCGCATTGCCTACTCGACCACGTTCACACGCATATCCCTAGCCCGGCCTACTCGTCTACCTCTTCCCACTCCACCTCCAGGTCTCATATTTTCAACCTGACAAGAGAAGAGCCCTCACATCTAGTGCTACACGCGCCCGACAGCTGCTACCACGCTTTACATTTGTGGACTCTCCACCACTTCGTAAGCTAGGGGCAGCTGCTAATCACCTACCCTGCAGATAGTTAAGTGACTTGTCCCAAAGCCACACAGCTTGAGGTCTGCAGGCCGGCGTGGCGGGTAAACCTGAGCACTCCTCTCGGACCGACGACCCGGTCCCCTGACGCCCAGTGGGCTGCGCTCTCTCCTTCCGTCCGGACGACGCGCGCAGTTACCTGCCCTGGCCTCGGCGTACTCGTCTGAGAAATGGGCGTCTGCGCAACCCTCTGCTGACACCTATCCCGCGAGGGAGCCCGAAAGTGGAACCCCAGCGCCAGCGAGTTCAACGGGACCGCCCCCACAGCGTGAATAAACGGTTTTCCGGGTCCGACCGGATGTGCTCCCTCAGAGACAGGAAGTCCCGCCTCTCAGCTCGGCCTCACGGGCATCCCCGAGCGCCACCTTCCGGTCGGAGAGGGAATGGGGTGTAGGAACTACGGTGGGAGGTGGAGATCCTCAAGCGCCAATAGTGAAGGCTAGATGGAATTGGATTCGAGTACCACCTCTGCTTAACCAACCTCATGGCCTGTTGTGGTTGTTGTACTAAATTAATTAATTCAGCAGACATTTACTATGCACCTACTGTCAGCCAGCCACTATGTTAGTCAGGAATCCTACTGATTGTCCCTGAATCCAAAGAAGTAGATTCTACAAATAGGTGAGGGGGTATCCCCGGGAGTACTCGTGGATTTCTCGGAGGTATCAGGAGGGTGTAGCTTTAAAGCCACCTATTATGATGTTGGCAAAAATTATTGACTATACCAAGGACTGACAGAAGAACAAACAAATCTGTCTTGGAAGAACTACAGCCAAAATGCTGTAAGGCAAGGATGGCAAGACTTCGTCTCACATACTTTGGACATGTTATCAAGACGGACCAGTCCCTGGAGAAGGACATCATGCTTCATAAAGTAGAGGGGCATCGCAAAAGAGGAAGACCCTCAACGAGATAGATTGACACAGTGGATGCAACAATGGGTTCAAGCATAACAATTGTGAGGATGGCATAGGACCAGGCAGTGTTTTGTTCTGCCATACATAGGGTTGCTATGAGTCAGAATGGCACCTAACAACATAAGACATTCCATGAAGTCATTCCGACTCGTAGCGAGTCGGAATTGACTCAGCAGCAAAGAGTTCCCCCAAAGTTTCTGATTCAGTTGGTGTGGGGATGGGGCTTTGTAATTTGCAATTCGAAGTTCTCAGGGGATACTGATACTGCCAGTCTGCGGACTAGGCTTTAAGAAAACCAGCAGCTGTCAAGTTGATTCTGACTCATGGTAACCCCAAGCGCGGCAGAGTAGAACTGTGCTCCACAGGGTTTTCAATGCTGATTTTTTGGAAGTAATTCACCAGGCCTTTCTTCCAAGGCATCTCTGAGTGGACTTGAGTTTCCAAACTTTCAGTTAGCAGCAGAGCTCATTAGCTCTTTGCACCACCCAAGGACTCCTGGCTTAAGGAAGACCTACAATAAACAGTTTTAAAATTTAGATCTTAATGATTCTGTGGGGCTGTTACAATTATAAACGCCTAATTTATCAGAGGAGCCGTGGTGGTGCAGTCATTAGAGTGCTCGATGCTAACCAAAAAGTTATCGGGTTGGAACCCACCAGCCATTCCACTCTCCACGGGAGAAAGACATGGCAATCTGCTTCCATAAAGATTTACAGCCTTGGTGAAGGGAAGGACAGCACACACTACAGGGGAAGTCAGCACAACTGGACTAAACCAAAGCTAAGAAGTTTCCTGAACACAACCAAACACTTCGAGGGATAAAGTAGCAGCGGCGGGGGTCTGGGGACCATGGTTTCAGGGGACATCTAGGGCAATTGGCATAACAAAATTTTTTAAGAAAATGTTCTGCATCCCACTTTGGTGAGTGGTGTCTGGAGTCTTAAAAGCTAGCAAGTGGCCATCTAAGATGCATCAATCGGTCCCAACCCACCTGGAGTAAAGGAGAATGAAGAACACCAAAGATACAAGGAAAGTATTAGCCCAAGAGACAGAAACGGCCACAGAAACCAGAGGCTTCATCAGTCTGAGACCAGAAGAACTAGATGGTGCCTGGTTACCACAATGACTGCCCTGACAGGTAACACAGCAGAGTCCCTGATGTCGGAGCAGGAGAAAAGTGGGGTGCAGAACTCAAATTCTAGTAAAAAGACCAGACTTAATGGTTTGATTGAGACTGGAAGGACACTGGATGCTGTGGCTCCTGGGTGCTCTATTAGCCCAAAACTAAAACCATTCCCGAGGCCAAGTCTTCAGACGAAGATTAGACTGGACTATGTGACATAAAATGATACTCATCAGGAGTGTATTTCTTAGCTCAAGTAGATACATGAGACTAAATGGGCAGCTCCTTTCCAGAGGAGAGATGAGAAGGCAGAGAGGGTCAGGAGCTGGTTGAATGGGCACAGGAAATCAGGGGTGGAAAGGATGAGTGTGCTGTCACAGCATAGGGAAAGCAAGTAGTATCACAAAACAATGTATAAATTTTTGTATGAGAGACTAACTTGAATTGTAAACTTTCACTTAAAGCACACACACAAAAAAGATTTACAGCCTCAGAAACGCTATAGGGCAGTGGGTTTTTCATCTACTAAATGAGAACCCCAGGCTCAGAAAAGTTAAGCAGCTGGGGGAGGGCTGGTATAACGGTGTGCGTTGGGGGTGGGGGGTTGTGGTCTATGGTGGCAGTCAGGATGTGAGGATGCCCCCAAAGCCCTCAAGCTCTCCTCCCTCGTCTTTGATTCCCCAGAACCACTCAACAACGGTCAAGAAGAGGCTGCTAGAAATGCCACGCCGCAGCTCCAGAAGCCCCGCCCCAGAAGTGAGAATCCTACGGTTAACCAAGACGGTCTTCCCATTGGCCTAGCAGAGGCCAGGAGAACAACCTTTCCATTGGCTGGATAGGCGGGGGCGGGGCTCACGATGGGCTGCCTGCTACAGCTGCCAGGGAGATAGACCTTCCCACTGGGTAGGTGGGCGGGGAGATAGACCTTCCCACTGGATAGGTGGGCGGGGGTGGAGCGCGTTGCTGCCCGGGAGATCGGCCTTTCCATTGGTTGGGCAGTAGGGGCGGGGCGCGAGATCCGCTGCCTGCCACGTGCTCCCCACGCCCGAGCTGCCCCGTGTGTGTAAAAGGGCGTGTACAGCGCGAGATCCGGGCGGGCATCGTCCACTCAACCTCGCGTTCAATCATGGCTTCTTCGGCCAGCGCAGACAGCGGCCGCAGGAAGCCCCGCTTGGCGGCGTCGTTGCAGATCAGCCCCGGACCCATCCCTTGGCGGCCCCTGAGTAGTCTGGGCCAACAGCCCTGGGAGCCCGTGTCCGGCCCCGGCGTGAAGGAGGACGATGGGGGTGGCGGGCAGCCCCAGGCCCCGGCGGCGGGGGATGGTGGGCCGGGACAGGAGGCCGGAGCGGGTGTGGGGCAGCCTGGGCATGGGAGTCTTGGAGGACAGCTAGGGACGTCCCCGAGGGTTTCTGTTTCTCCCGCAGGGCCTGCGGGGGACTTCCCGAAGGCGGCCAGGCAGCTGAACCTGCAGCTCAAAAACCCGCCCCCGGGCAAGGCCATGACGTTGCTTATGGAGTACGCAGCCAGCCTGGGCGTCTCCCTGATCTTCCGAGAGGATCACAGGGCAGGTGAGCGCCTGGGTACCAGGTACCAGGTATGGGTGATCGGCGCGGGTCACGTAGGAGGCCGGAGGTGAGTGGGAGCTGGGGAAGTGACCCTGACCCCCGTGCTCTGAAGACCGGCTGATGACCAGCTGACCCCAGATGAGGTGGGAGGGGGACTATGAGCTGCACGGAGCCTGAGGCTTCGAGGTAGACTTTCCTTCCTGTGAGCAGTGTGTGTTTAAGGAGCACCAGCTACACACCAGCGGCCGTTAGACATCTACTGTGGTAGTAGGGCTATGGCAAAGGAATATGGTCCAAGGGAATCATTCCTCAAGCCACTGGCAACATTTTAAAACCTCCTAAGAGAACCCCAAGGAGTCCCTGGGTGGTGCAAATGGTTAACGCGCTTGATCGCTAACCAAAAGGTTGAAGGTTCAAGTCTACCAGAGATGCTTCAGAAGAAAGGCCTGGTGATCTACTTATGAAAAACCAGCCATTGAAAACCCTATGGAGCACAGTTCTACTCTGACACACACAGGGTCACCATGAGTTGGAAATGACTCGACAGAAACTGGTAAGAGAATCCCAAATGAACCACTCAAAAAAAGACAATGATAGCTAACACTCAAAAGTCCTGGGTGATGTGCTAGGCACTGTTTGAAGGGCTTCTGGCATGATAACTCAGCTAGTCCTCACACCGACTCTCAAGGTAGGTCTGATACTGTTAGCATCGTTTTATAGGTGGGGAGACTGAGGCCAGAGAGGTCACACAGAGAGCCAGCGGTACACCATTGACAGTGCCTTTTTCCACCGTTTACATGGGAAGGCATGGTTTTTAATCGTTAACTTTTTTATTTTGATGAGAGTAATATGAAGAACTCCCATAAACTCTTCACCCAGATTCACCAGTTAACATTTAACACATTTGCTTTGTATGTGTGTGTCTCCTTCTTTATACATTTATTTATGTATAAATACCCACATTATTTTTTCAAATAATTTGGAAGTCAATCGCAGACATTATGCTCCCTTTATCCCTAAACACCTCAGAGTGTATTTCCATAAGAACAAGGATATTCTCTTATATAACTATAGTATAGTTATCAAATTGCAGGAATCTAACATTGATACAACCTTGCTGACAGCTGTTGCTGTCGAGTGGATTCTGACTCATAGTGACCCTTTAGGACAGAGTAGAACTTCCCCATAGGGTTTCCAAGGAGCTCTTTAGCACTGTGCCACCAGGGCTTCATTGATACAATACTATTATTTAATTACCACTCACATTCAAATTATGCCACTTGTCCCAATAATACCCTTTATGGCCATTTGTTCCCAGTCCAGCATCGCATATTACACTTAGCTCTCCCACCTCTTGAATTTTCTGTGATCTGAAACAGTTCTTCAGTCTTTCTTTGTCTTTCATGACACTGATGCTTTGAAGAGCAAGGCCAGTTTTGGGTTCGTCTGTTTTCTTGGGATTAGATTCAAGTTTTGCATTATTGATGGGAATGCATGCAAGTGGTGTTCTGACCCTCGAAGGACATCATACCAAGAGGCATGTGGTTTCCTTGATCCTGAAGCTGGCGGTGCTTGATTAGGGTGATGTCTGCCAGCTGCCTTTGCTTCCCCCTTGTGCTTACTAGGTAATCCAAGGTATTTGGAGAGGTGTAAGTATCCTGTTTCATGTCACACTGTTACTTAGTGGCTGTAGCAAACATTGATGAGTCTCACCAGATCCAGTTTTTGCTGGCTTCTTTACCAGCATCCCTTCTGCATCTACTTGTTGGCATTGTCAAGGCTCTTTTTTTTTAAAAAAAAATAATAATTTAACCTGGAAAGCATGGCCCCTGGATTCTCTATCAGCCCAGAACTAAAACAATGTCTGAGGCCTACTCTTCAGACAGGGATTGGACTGGACTGTGGGACATAAAGTGATACTCATGAGGAGTGAGCCTCTTAGCTCAAGTAGATACGAGACTAAACGGGCAGCTTCTGTCCGGAGGTGAGATGGGAAGGCAGAGAGGGTTAGGAGCTGGTTGAATGGACATGGGGAATCGGGTGGAAAGGAGGAGTGCGCTGTCACAGTATGGGGAGAACAATTAGAGTCACGTAACGATGTATAAATTTTTGTATGGGAAAATATTTTTTAAAAAAGAAAAAACCCTAAAAGTTGGTAACTAAATAAAGGTAAACACGAGGTACATTTAAAAATAATAATAATTTATTTTTTTTGTTGTTGTTGAGAATACACACAGTAGAACATACACCAGTTTAAGTTTCTACGTGTACAATTCAGTTACACTGATGCCATTTTTCAGGTTGTGCCACCATTCTCACCCTCCTTTTCTGAGTTATTCCTCCCCCATTAACATAAACTCACTGCTCCCTAAGTTTCCTATTCAGTCTTTCAAGTTGCTGTTGTCAGTTTGATCCCACAATGCTCAGGACATTCTTTACTAGTTAAGCTAAATTGTTGTTTGGTTTTACGAAGACTTCAGGGGATATTTTTGGTGTAAGGTTTAAAGATTATCCCAGGGTGATATCAAGGCTCTTTTTAAAGCAGACGGATCTCAGTGCTGGTGAGGAGAGCTGAAATGGGTTCTCTTCTAAAGGGGCATAGCCCCTTTGGGAAGCAATTGAACAGTTAAGCATAGTATTCTTTGGATGATCCTCTCGTTGTTTCTTTTGCATTATAAGTAACAACTGAAATGGTAGTTTGCTAGACAAATCTTTCAGATGTAGGGTCCCTGGAGGAGAGAAGGAGTAGAAGCCTCTGTCTGGTGGGAAGGCAGAAAGCCGTATGGGCGCCTGGGGGCTTTCCTCCTGAGGGCAGGGTAGCACAGGCTCTGGACTAGTACCTGGGTTTGAGTTCCAGCAGCACCTGGACAAACTGCCTGCCTTCCTGTGCCTTATCTGCAAAATGAAGTCATATCTTCATTTGAAGATGCTGAAGGAGTTCAGTAAGAATTCAGTCTCGTTAACGATGGGGCACCGCATGCCAAGGCACGCCCAGTGGCTGGCTTAGACAGTGAATGGCGTCAGCAGTTAGCAAAGGGCAGCGGCAGTCTCCTTGTCGCTCTGATTGTCCTTGCTGTCAGGAAGAAGTGTGGGTGAGAGCTGCTGGGACTTCAGCGGGGCTGGGTGTCATACCTACTCCTAGAAAGGGCGCATGGTGTGGATGGAGGCCAGGAGCCCACTTCACCACCTCTCCTTCCTCAGGCCCTGGCATCCCCTTCTCTGTGAGCATAGAGCTAGATGGAGTGGTCTGTGCTGCAGGCACTGCCAACAGCAAGCTGGAGGCAAAGCAGCAGGCAGCTGTGTCTGCCCTCCGCTACATCAGGACTCAGCTAGAGGGCCAAGGTAACGGGAGCTAGGGCACTGTGCCCCAGCAGGTGGGTGTGCACTCCTGTGGGGGAGTGTGAGGTGGTTGTGTGCATGTGCTGTGTACGTGCATGGATGGGGTAGGTTGTGGCAAAGCCCATCTAGGCATCAGGCCCTGACTTGCAGAGAGCTGTGGATGGGGACTTCCACCCACCCTGGGGACAGGGACTGCTAGAGGAGCAGCCCGTGGGACTTCTGGTTTCTGGAAGTGGAAGGCCTCCCCTCATCTTCTTCCAATGGAACTTCTTCACTTCCTGAAGGTTGGAGGGCAGACCCAGCTCTCTTGTCTCTCTTCCAGAGCCCCCCAAGACTCCTGGCAGGCCTCCACTCATCCCCCTGAGCGTAGGTAGGTGGGCCCCAGCCAGCCCTGTCCTGCAGCTCCCTGCCAGCCCCCAGTGATAAGGGTGGCAACTTGCCCAGTGGGCCCCCACTTTTGCCTTCTCCCCTTGCCCAGAGAGCATTGTGACCCATGAGCAGCGCTGCGCAGCAGTGGTCAGTGCCGGCTTTGACCGCCTGGTGGACGAGAGCTCGCCGTACTGGGCCTGCAAGGAAACTGTGGCTGCGGTTATCCTGGAGAGGGGTAGGGAGCACTGCCCTGGCCCACCACCCCGATGGCTCCTGCCCAGGTCACTTGCCTGAGGCTGGATTGTCTCTCCACCCGTTCCCTATGCAGAGGTCCCAGGTGCCAGGGGCCATGCCAAGGAGATCTACGAGCTAGTGGCACTGGGCACGGGCAGCGGTTGCTGTGCCGGCTGGCTGGAGTTCTCGGGCCGGCAGCTGCATGACTGCCACGGGCTGGTGGTTGCCCGGCGGGCCCTGCTGAGGTGAGGGGCTAGTGGTCACCAGCTGGGCCCTGCTGAGGTAAGGGGTCAGTGGTCACCAGCTGGGCCCTGCTGAAGTGAGGGGTGGGTACCCAGCAGGCTCTGCCGAGGTGAGAGGCTGGTGGTCACCAGCTGGGCCCTGCTGAGGTGAGGGGCCAGTGGTCACCAGCTGGGCCATGCTGAGGTGAGGGGTGGGCGCCTACTGGGCCCTGCTGAGGTGAGGGGCCAGTGGTCACCAGCTGGGCCATGCTGAGGTGAGGGGTGGGCGCCTGCTGGGCCCTGCTGAGGTGAGGGGCGACGGGTGCTTGGCTGCATCCCTGCAAGGGAGGGCAGGTGGGACATGGCAGCCCCCAGCCCTTCCTCTGCCTGTTGCTCCCAGGTTCCTGTTCCGGCAGCTTCTGCTAGCAACACAGGGGGGACCCAGGGGCAAGGAGCGGTCAGTTCTGGCCCCCCAGCCTGGGCCTGGGCCCCCCTTTGCTCTCAAGCCTGGGATCTTCCTGCATCTCTACGTCAGCAACACCCCCAAGGGAGCGGCCCATGACATCTAGTATGGGGGAGCCTGCAGGGGTAGGGGCAGGAATGGGGACCAGGGGAGGGCAGAGAGCAGCCCTGACACTCAGCCCTACTCTCTGTCCCCATTCGCTGGCAGTGTCCCCTCATCCTCGGAAGGCAGTTTCCTGCACAGTCCCCCCTTCCGCCTGCAGGCCCACATCCGCGGGGAGCTGAAGCCCGTGTGCTATGTGGCGCCTGCACTCCGCGACACCCACGTGGGCTGCCTCTCAGCCAGTGACAAGCTGGCCCGCTGGGCTGTGCTGGGGCTGGGGGGTGCCCTGCTGGCCCACTTCCTGCCACCCCTCTATGCCACCAGCCTCGTCCTGGGTGAGGGGCTCTGGGGAGCATAGGGGTAGAATGTGGGGTCTGGGTGGTGAGTTGGAGAGGTAACTTAACCTCCCCCATGCCTTCTGCCCTACAGCGGACCCCTGCCATGACCCCCCAACCCTGAGTAGGGTCATCCATGCCCGACCCAGCCTAGATGGGGCTGAGGGACCGTGCCTGCCGCCCCCCTATGTCCGTACCACCCTGCACCTATTTGCAGGACCCCCAGTGGTCCCCTCCGACCCCACCCCCAGCACCTGCCACGGCCTGAGCATCAACTGGAGCCTTGGGGACCCTGACATTGAGGTTGTGGATGTGGCCACTGGACGGGTGAAGGCAGAGTGAGCAGGGGACCAGGGGCGGGGATGAAGGGAGGTCCGCTGGTAAGAGCACATGTGCTAGTTATGGGCTTGTGTGGACCCCAGCAGTCACCTGCAGGCTCTGTGGCCTCGGCCTGTGCTTCTGTCCCTACCCATAAGGTGGTCGTGGTGTGGAGGGAACCAGGTGGACATATGGTGCAGGCCTGTGATGCTGGCCCTTCTTCTCCCAGTGGGACCCTTGGGCCTCCCTCCCGCCTCTGCAAGGCTGCCTTTCTCCGGGCCTTCCGCCAGGCTGCCCGTGCCCTGGACAAACCCCGTCTCCTGGCCTTGAGGACCTATGAGGCGGCCAAGGTCAGCCCACCCCCCATCCCACTGTTTCTGTGCCATATTGCGCCCAACCTGCACCTCTACCAAGTACCCTTCTCCCTCTTGTCTCCTGCTCTAGGCTGGGATCTACCAGGAGGCACGCCAGCAACTCTCTGTCCTCCTGGACCAGCAGGGCCTGGGGGCTTGGCCCTCAAAGCCACTGGTGGGCAAATTCAGAAACTGAAACCAGACCTCCAGGCTGATGTCCAGGCCAAGCTGGACGCTGGCATCTGGAGGAATGTCTTGCCAGGGAGGGAGTTACAGGGGGTAAAGCACTGCTGGTGTGCAGGGTGAGGTTGGGATGGAGGCAGGAGCCCAGCGGGGCTGAGGGGGGGTGGCAGCACATTTGGGCTTGAATAAAGAGTTTGTTTCTGGTGCATCTGTGTGTAGTTGTCCTTTTTGGGGGTGATTTGAACCCAGCAGCCACTCTGTGGGAGAAAGACATGGCAGTCTGCTTCCATAAAGATTTACCACCTTGGAAACCTATGGGGCAGTTCTACTCTTTCCCATAGGATCGCTATGAGTCAGAATCAACTCGATGGCAGTGGGTATGCTATGGCATGGTATCCCTGAGCTCTTTTATTTGAGGAGACGGCCCTTCATAGACTCCTTTGGTGAAATATCAGTGATGGTGGGCTCTCCGCTGGCTCATCTATGTTGTTAGCTGCCTTCAAGTCAGTCCCCAACTCATGGCGATCACACACAATGGAATGACACACTGCCCCGTCCCACGCCATCCCCATGATTGGTTGCAGATCGAACTGTTGTGATCCGTAGGGTTTTCACTAGCTGATTTTCAGAAGTCAATCACCAGTCCTTTCTCCCTAGTCCCGTCTTAGTGTGGAAGCTCTGCTGAAACCTGTTCAACTTCATAGCACCACGCAAGCCTCCGCTGACAGACAACAGGGTGGTGGCTGCACATGAGGTGCGTTGACCCTCTCCCTCATGGTAGGCGAGAATTCTACCACTGAACAGCCAATGGCCTTTTCTCTACTTAAAAAAAAAATTGCCATCGAGTGGATGCCAACTGATAGCCATCCTACAGGACAGAGTAAGACTACTCCAAAGGGTTTCCAAGGAGCAGCTGGTGGATTCAAACTGCCGACCTTTTGGTTAGCAGCCAAGCTCTTAACCACTGCACCGTAAGACTGTAGAGTCTTCCTTAGTTGTGGCACCAACACTGCTCACAGAGGTGGAATTGGGTTTGGGAGGGGAGGGGCTTCTGCTTGTGCTGTTGGCCATGTGGTGTGAGGGGACCATCTCCCCGGGGCCTCTTAGGAGGCTCCTGCCCCTTGGTTTCCCCGGCCTTGGGCAGGAGTAAGAGGAGTGGCAGGGAACTACTGCCATGACAGCTGGTTGGAAGTGTTGACTGGGCTCAGGGAGGGTGTGGAGGGTATGGTATTGGCTGTCCACCAGTTGGGAGGGTATGTGGCCTAGTATGGGAGCCCCTGGATGCTGGCTGTCCCCAGGGAGATCAGCCCTATGCAGACCTTGGCCGGCTGGCAGGGAAGCCAGTGCTCCCAGCATGCACAATGGCACACGCACATGCATTTCTGCAAACCTACGACCTCGCCCGCCTGGCAACTGTGTGCTGCTGAGCCAGGGTGTAGGCAGTCAGGAGGCCTGTGGGATCTGGGCCTGTTGGGTGAAGACTGCAGATGTACTTCTGCCCCACCCCTGTGGGCTGAGACCCCTGTTCCGCCAGCAGTTCCAAGGATTCGGAACTTCAGGCTGCACTCCCAGATAGCCTTGGGAAGGGCCAGGCCAGTCCTGGTGACAAAGACCATGGGGTTGTGTCCCCCCGCCCCACACCCTCTCTCTGCCACTGGGTGAGTGTGTGTGGCCATGGCAAGCCACTTAACCTCAGGGCACTTAGGTCAACTCATTTAGAGAAATTATCAGAAAGCCACCCCGTTCTCATCCAGCTGGCCCAGCTGTGGCCTGGCCAATTTCTGTGCTCGTCCTCTTGGCCCTTTCCAAACCATTCCACCACCATTAACACAGACTCAATGCCCCCGAAGCAAAGACTCCCCCTTTCCCCTTCCTTCCCATCTCTGATAACCACTAATCTTCGACTTCTATATATTTGCTTATTTCATATAAGTGAGATCATACAGCATTTGTCCTTTTGAGATTGACATTTCACTCAGCATGATGTTTTCAAGGTTCATCCATGTTGTGGCGCGCAACAGGACTTCATTTCTCTTTATGGCTGAGTAGTATTCCATTGTGCGTATAGACCACATTTTGATTACCCATTCATCTGGTGATGAACGGGTTGATTGTTTTCACCTTTTGGCTATTGTGAAAAGTGCTATTGCTTTTTTAGAAACAAAACTTTTCAGGTCAACTTTGAAATAATTATTTCTCTTGGGGTTTTTTATTTTTTTTATTTTAAGGGATAGAGAGGATTTTTAAAACACCCAAGCTTATTAACTCACCCGTTTATTACATACCATTATCCCCAGGAGATAATTTAAATTGATTTACTTTTTGTCCTGCAGTGGTAACTACCACCAGATCCAGAAATATACCAGACATTTCAAACTGCAGTTTTATGCAATGAGCCTTTTGATATTCATTAATCACATAATCACTGGGTAAACAAGTTATTCAAAATGACATTAACTCTGCTGTGTTCTGCCAAATAAGTAATATTTGTCCCCACGTTGCATAAATCTGCCTGTCCAATCTTTTCCTCCCCAGACAACCTTTTCGTTACACAATATTTGCTCAGCTCCTTTCATTCAGCTTATTTATTATTGCAGGGTAATGATGAATGCTACTTTTAAAATGGGGAGTCTGTTAATGTCTTCTTGGCCTGGCTCCTCTGCGGGAAGTTTTTGCCAACATGAGCATATTTAAATTGGGAGATGATGTCTTCCAGCTTGGCATGACTCAAGCTCTGCTTCCTCCAGAGCGCTTGCCTCCCATTGCCCCCATTCTCCCTCCCTGCACCCCCAAGCTCTGGGGCTCTCTCCTGGACTCTGAGCACCCTCTGGAGTCCCTAGGTGGTGCAAAAAGTTAACATGCTCAACTGCTAACCAAAAGGTTGAAGGTTCAAGTCCACCCAGAGTCACCTCAGAAGAAAGGCCTGGTGATCTACCTCAGAAAAATCAGCCATTGAAAACCCTATGGAGCACAGTTCTACTCTGACACACATGGGGTTGTTGTGAGTTAGAACTGACTCACTGGCAACTGTCTTGTTTTTTCCTGCTTTTAGGCACCCTCTGCAGTGTGTATGCAGAGTGCTTGGGGAAGAAATGTGAACCTGGGAGTCCAAGAGGCTACTGTACCTTTCTGAGCCTCAGTTTCCCTGTTTGGCAAGTGAGTCATAGATGCTTAGCCTGTGGGTTCTGGTGAGATTCAGTGGGAAAGTATGCTGAGCACAGCTCCTGGCAGACAGTGGCTGTCACTGATACTCATTCTGTCACATGGCCACACCCAACTGCAGGGGTGGCTGGGAAATGGAGACTCCAGCTCTGATTTGGGTAGCTCCCATTATCAAAAGGAGCCCTGGTGGCGCAGTAGTTAAGAGCTTGGCTGCCAACCAAAAGATCAGCAGTTTGAATCCACCAGCCACTCCTTGGAAACTCTATGGGGCAGTTCTACTCTGTCCTACAGGGTTGCTAGGAGTCAGAATTGACTCTGTGGCAATGGGTTTGGCTTTTTTGGTTTTCATTACTGAAAGGACCAAACTGAGGATGACATTGGTGGAGTTAGAAGCCTTTCCCACAAGATGCTGGGAAGGACAGACAGACTCCACCCTGTTCTATCCCCTGAGCCAAGAGGCAGCCAACAGCCGGAGGGGGCAGGCGTGCCGTGGCTACTTGTGCTCCCCCAGGACCATATTCAGAAGCTCTGCCTTCCTGAACCCCCTCTAGTCCCCTAACCTCATCCCCTTACTCTGCGGTAGCCACATGGCCTCCACACTGTCCCTTGAAATCACCAACCACTTTCCTACCTCAGAATCTTTGCACTTGTTTTTCCTTCTATCCAGTAGCATTTCCTCCAGATAGCCACTCCCTTTGCTCCTTCATCTTTGCTCCAATCTCAGCAGCTCAGTGAGGTCTTCCCAGGTCACCCTTTCTAAAGCTGCAAGCCCCCACCCTGCACTCTCTTGCTCCAGCGCTGCTTCATTTTTCTCGCTTATTCCCTGGTCTGTTCTGGTCAAGGCCTAGCTGCCAGTGCCTGGATCAGTGTCCCGCTCAACATAGTTGCTCGATAAAGACCTGTTGATGAATGAATGAAGAATGGACTTAGAAAACACTGGAATGCCCTGCTGTCTCTCTGCCAGGGACCCTGCCCTGCAGCCCAGTGGGTCACAGCCTTGACGCCAGCCACCTTCTGCAGCTTCACCCACGCCTGCATCCTCCTCTTCAGCTTCTCCTAATGCTCTCCCAGGGTGAGCCTGGAGCTGGTTCATTTATTTTCCCAAAATCCCAGTGTCTTCAACTCAGACTCAGGTGTAAATAAATGGGAGCGTTTATGTATGAGTCAGGGGAAAGAAGGGAGGCCAGACACCCTTGTGGGCGAGACTGTGTCTGCTAGGCCATGATTCTCAGTAGTTTGGCAGACATTATGTAATCATCCTTTGTTTTGTGATCTGATGTGAGCAGCCAATCAGTTGGAAGGGGAGTTTCCTTGGGGGTGTGTCCTGCATCTAATATATTTGGACGTTCTGGCAAAGCTCATGCTGTCTCCAGCCTGCATTGTCTTGTGAAGTGAGCCAGCAGCCTGCTGCCTAATCTGCAGATGTTGGATTCACCAGCTCCCGCAACCTCATGAGCCAGCAGCCTGCCACCTGACTTGCAAATTTTGGGTTCGTTAGCCCTGCAACCATGTGACTCAGGAGAAGCCTCCAGCATGCTGCCTGACCCACAGATTTGGGATTTACCAGCCTCCACAATAGCATGAGCCATTTCCTTGAAATAAATCTCTCTATATATGTTTACATATACATATCACTGGTTTTGCTTCTCTGGAGAATCCAGTCGTGGAGTCAGTTCCAACTCATAGCAACCCTGTAGGGCAGAGAAGAACTGCCCCATAGTGTTTTCAAGGCTGTAATATTTATGGAAGCAGACGACCACATCTTTCTCGCGCAGACTGGCTGGTGGGTTTGAACCGCTGACCTTTCAGTTAGCAGCCAAGCACTAAACCACTGCACCACCAGGGCTGCTA